TCATCTTGTGTGTTGTAATTTTTAATTTTTCATCTTGTGAATTGTAATTTTTAATTTTATTTGTGTGGTGAAATTTTAATTTTTAATGAATATTTATTTCTCCGATTTTATTATCTATAATTAATTTTAATTACATAAAGTCCAAATTGAATTTAAAATAATAGTGTGGTTTAATTTGTAAAGTTGTGAAATATGTGGGTAGTATTGAAAAGTTATAAAAGTTGGTGTAAAAGAGAATATTCTGGGAATATTCTTTTGGGTTTGAGAATGAGTTTTTCGGTTGGAGATGAATTACTGCAAAATGGGATAGTTACTGCAAAATGGGTTTGAGTTTGAGTTTTTTGGTTGGAGATGGCCTTAGGGCTTTAATTGCCAAATTGAAATGTTAAAAACTTCTCGTGAACTGTCACCAAAATGGCTTTTCCTTTATTAGATAGATAATACACCTGGTTTGAGAGTCAAGAGTGGCCCGATAGACGGTCGGGTATTTTTGTTAGGATTAAATCGTCAAATATTTATACGTGCTACTTAACTGACTGTCTATAATTGCTGATTAACTGACTGACTATGACTGTTGTTCGATTGACTGACTGACTATAACCGATGTTCAACTGACTATGTATAACTGATGCTCAACTGACTACAATCAAGTTAATCATTGAATAGAACTAGTCAACTCAAATCTGTATGACCGAACTTTTCGGGCCGGGCTTACAAACATTGCAATAAATCAACCTAATGGCATGGCATATAAAATAAAGTGGAAATTAATGATCATTATTGAATAGTGATTTTATATCTTCACATATCAACAGGATTACAAAGTGTGGCATGCTTGTCTTGTCTTGTGCCATCCAAATAAATCCCATCATTTACATATGCTGGTGACATGTGGAATAGTGTTAATGCTCCTCATAAAAATAAATTAATAAAAACAAAAATAAATAAAAATATAATAAAATAAGTAAATAACTCTTGAGGGAGAGCTTTGCCTCCCTTGTGGTCCTACTCGGCTCGATTCCGGATTAGTCGGTTCCCCTGTGGATCCAGAAACCGGAAGGTCCCTGTACCAAAAAAAATAAATAAATAAATAAATAAAAGGTATGTGTGATTTTAGATTCCATCTGCTCCCTTTTGCCCTAATTATTCCAGCAATTTTAATGATTTTATTCCTCTCATATGTTTCTTTCTCATTTTCTCCCTTTTTTTTGCAATGGCACTCTCACTTTTTATTTCTTTGTAGTCTATTTCAGTTCCTTAGCATGAAAAAATGTGACACATTTAACAGAATAAAAAGCCAATTAGCTCTGTCTTATTGTTCAGACAGTTTTTTTGTTTGTTCTATCACAGTTTGTTGTGTATATGTCTCAAAGATTCTTCCAAGGACCACCTGATGATCAATGGAGATAAATTCTGTGTAGTCACTGCCCTCACTTGTCAATTCTTGATTTTGTTTGCACATTTTAACTTTGATTTTAATTTTATATAAATCATTAAATCCCACATTTTATCAAATTCTACTTCTTATTCACTTTGGTCACAACTCCTAAGCTCGTCTTAGTTTCGATGAATACTAAAGAAAAAACATAACCGAGTAACATATAAAAGGGTGCGCAAAACGAACCGAAACCGAAAAACCGCACCGAACCGAGCTAGTCGGTGCGGTTTTTGAAGAGTTCTGTTATCGGTGCGGTTTGGATTTTGGACAAATGCAAACATTTCGGTGCGGTTTGGTTTTGTGTCCGTAGGGTGCGGTGCGGTTTGGTTTTGTGTCCGTAGGGTGCGGTTTTAACCGAACCGCACCGAATGTAATAAAATGTCACTCTTTTTAATAGTATCACCTTAATTTTTATACTTTTACTTACATTAAATGAATTGGTGGTTATCTTTTTTTTTCAATTTCAGTTAATTGAAAAATCGCACCTAACCGTTCTGAAATTTTCGGTTCGGTTCAGTTCGGTTCGCTTTTTCTTTCTATTGCAGTGCGGTTCGATGAAGAAATTTTAAAGATTTTATTTTTGGTTCTTCGGTGGAATGCGGTCCTGTTTTGACCCGAACCGCACGGATGCTCATATAAGGATAGTAACATTGTGCAAAATATGAAATATTAGTATCTTCACATGAGTTGAGGAAAGAGAGTGGCAAAGGCAAACTGTTGAAGTGGGCCATTGAAGGGAAATAAGAAATAGTCTCTCTCAAACATTAGAAAGTAAAAGAAACTAGTATTAATACTTATGTACAACATGGGTGTTGAGTTAATGAATATATGTGTAAAATTATTTATGTCCAACACCAAACCTAACTCCAGAGCAAAAATAGTATAAAAACAACATCACGAAGCATAAATTTTTGCCATGTCAGCATCCGAAGTGTGAGAATCTGCCACCCAGGCTCAACACGTTTTGAATTAATATATAGGAAGTGATATAGGGAGGGATTGCAAATAAATAAATGTGGTAATTGTATATGGCTAACAAAGATTGAAACAACCTAAATTCATTAAATAAAATGTAAATTCTATTATAAAAAGCAGAAAATAATTAATCTTTGTAATCAGACGTGACCAGGTGCCGGGCCAAGGCCCGGCCCGGC